GTTGATCTTATACGTGTTCGATAAGAGCTATAAACTGATAAAATATTAAGTTTTAAAAGGACTGCTGCTAAAGTCCATTAAAACCGGTTTCACCTGCTCCCCACTGTTATATTAATTTTTCAGTATTCGCCCCCGCAGCCTCGCTTCCGTGCTAATGAAAACTCGGCAACATACATCGTTTGAAAGAGGCCAGAAGAGTGAAAATTCCGTCCGCAGTGCCACTCAAGTCCACTTGAACACACTAAGGCAATAATTGCGTTAAAAAGAGTAAAAACTTGAGGTTAGTACACACAAAGCCTTCATTAAGACTTATTTAGTATGATGCTTCGAACATGTTATTGATATACTGCCAATATTTATTTAACATTAATGGGAATAATGTTGTGGAGGAATATCATTTGAAAGAGATAAGATCTTGACTTCTCTGCTCGGATTGGATGCTTTCGTTTCTTTTTGGCCGAATAACAAAACCACTAAGAAGAAACGTAAAGAGATTTATTTTTGTTTCTTTCCACGATGCCGTCAGGCTAGTAGAATTATTTTCTATACGTTTCATTTGCACACAGTGAAACCTGCATGCGCGCCATCGTAAATTCGGTTTGATTACCTCCGCCTGTTTTATACCGGGTTGCTTCTCGGCACTTTGAGAAGCGTTGATATTGCGACAGCTTAACAGCCTGTCTGTATCCCGCTTTACTTTCAGTTGTTACATGTGAACAACGAAATTTGGCGGTTTCACTGAAAAGACACTCAAACATATTATGTTATTATTAACGTGGTGAGTTCGCAATGCCAAATATTGTCTCTTTTTTTAGGAAAAATAAAAAAAAAGATTTTTCAAAAATTGATTTACAGAGAATAAAAAAAAAAGGAAAATATAAAAAAAATCAATTTAAAGAGAATAATTCTCTTACGAATGACTGCTCCTACAATGAAAGCGAAATTCTCGAGATTTGTCCGGTTAATGTAATCAAGTATCCCAGAAAAGCAACAATTATCGATCTTTTGAAACAATTTTTTAGATTTGAATTTATAATTCGAGATTATTTCCATTACTTCACCCTCCGTGAAGTTTCAACTAGTCCATGCAAAACAATCTTGCCCTCTAGATAACAGGGCTAAGAACAAATAGAATATTTCTGTACGTATTAACTGTTGTCCACTTCGTTGCTGACTTACAAAGTTTCAATTGCATCTTTATTTGCGGAACTCATCGCCTGCTCTGAGGTCTATTATATTAACACTGATACACAGTTCAACATACGGTTACCGCTTTGTCACGGGCACTATTCGCACGGAAATTTTCACTAAGCGGGTAGATCAGTTTCAGAATATCAGGGGAGTAAACTGATAAGACATTTTTTTGTTAACAGATCTGAGATAATTTACAACTTTTTTCTTTATATCATGTAAATTTATTTACTTAAAAATAAAATTATTCTTTACACGTTACAGAAAATTATACTTAAAAGATTATATTTTGTTAAAAAAGGAATATCATATAGTTAACAGAGAAAACCATGAAACAACGAAAAAAATTATTGGAAAAGGAAGGTCCATTTGCACCACGTTGTCTTTAGGCCCTGTCCACACTACCACTACGCCAGAGAAATCTGAAAACACAACAATAACCGGCGGCAGAAAAGCTTGTGCCTACCTTTGATGGTCAGGGTAAATCGCTAAATACTGTGAAGTCCACATCATTTTGGAAAAGCATCGTTTTCAAAATGTTTTCCGTCCACACTAAAACGAAAAGCCGTCGTTTTTTTTGGAGTGTTTTCGAAATTAAAAGCTCCGTTTTCGGTGCACAACTTTCCTGGATTTGTGTGGATGGCAGGCTTAACCGTTGACATAATGCTGCGTTTTCAAATTTATACGGCATGGTGTGGACTGGGCTTAACAATTAATTCTATCAAATTTACATGAAATGAATGTATAATTTTTCGGTAAATTTAAATTTTGTCTTTAATTATTATTATTATTGTTATTATTATTGTTATTATTAGACAGCAGTAAAAGCGTATGGCAATTATTATTATTATTACTATTATTATTATTATTATTATTATTAGACAGTAGTAAAAACGTATGGCAATTATTATTGTTATTATTATTATTATTTCTATTTTTTACAAAAAGCGTCATTTGAATTGAAACGTGTCATAAGCGTCAAAAGAAAAAGAAAAAGAAAAACAAGTTTTGCTCTTGAAATATAGTGCTGTATTCTTTTTGCATTGAATGTTGATTATAATCTATGTAAAGTTTAACACATTTGTTGTGAGTTAACAGCAGGAAATAGCAGTAACAGTACACGAAGGCTAACATTGGCAACGATTGTAATTATCCGCTCGACAGCTGATTGAAAAAACCTAAAAGTGTTAGCTTCCTGGGCTTTATCTCCATGTCACCTTTGATTACGCCTCTCACGGTTTACGCTCCATATATAAGTCTACATTTGGCTATTCAAAAAATATTATTGTTAGTTGCTCTCTTTGTTCTCTTTGTTTGCTTTTGTTATTCATGACAGAGAGTCTATTTTGCTGGTCACTCGCAGTGTTTTAGGTTGTTACAATAAAGAAATATTCATGTTTGCGTCAATAATTCAACATAAAGTTAAGGTTACTAGGATACGAACCTCATTCTCTTGAATTGCTTATTTCGGCGACACTTCATCTTGTTTGTTATTTGCATGTTAACTGAGTTCAGCGCCTTATAACGCCTGCCAAGGATTATGATGGCTGTAGCACGATAAGTGAGCTGTTTTTGTGCACTAGGAAGGTAGTGCGTCTTTCCTTTTGGCAACATTGACATATCAACACTTAATTATTCATAACCGGCTTTGCAGATTTGGACTGCAGTGGTCAGGATAGACAGAATGAACAACACAAGCAACGTGACGCAGAAGAATTCAAACACGACAAAACCTGTACATATGGAATTGACATCTTTTTTAATGTGGTGCTTTGCCTTTGGAGTTGTCGACCTCATCGTCATTATTGCGAACGTCGTCACGTTAGTGGTGTTTTACTCGAGTAAATACCTCGTGCGAAAACGACATAATCATTTTTTGATCCTATTAGCTATAACGGATATCATGGTTGGACTTGTAGTGATGCCGTTGTACTTATATCAACTGGTTTCCTGGTGGACCAACGAACACAACGTGTTAAAAAACGCCGTGTTTGATACCTTCACAGCAATGGACATCTTTTCTGGGTTCGCCTCTATCTTTACTTTGGCTATTATTGCAGCGGATCGAGTCTATGCAATAGTGTTTCCTCTTTACCATAAGGTTCCTCCAAAAGGAGTTTATCCTTCCATGATAGCCTCGGTTTGGGTATTATCGGGATTACTAGTATTATATTACTTTTTGTCTCGGGTCAATATTGTACCCAAGGAAGCTTTTATTTACCTGTTATTGATCAGCATATCGATTTCCCTTCTTGTTATTTGTATTTCGTATTTACTAGTTTGGGCTCGAGTGAAGTGCTTTGCAATCAGTCACGGTTTACGAGGAGCGTCATTCAGGGAAAGACGCTTAGCAGAACTGCTTTTTTTAATCACAATCATTTTTGTATTCACGTGGTTACCATTTCATGTTATAAACTTCATTTTCCATTTTTGTAAATCGCCAAAATGCCAGCCCTCATCCAAACTTGTTTACTTCAGCAAACTTTTACACTACAGCAACTCATTTTTGAACCCGGTGGTTTATTCGTACAGAAATGTCGAATTTCGGAAATGTTTAAAAAGACTCGTAAAGAATGTAACATCTCAGTCGAAGCCATTACTAACGGACAAGAGAGAGCGAAATCTAAGAGGCGCGACAAGGGAGAGAAAATTGCTTCTGGAAAGGCAAGAAGCATTTCGTCGCATTGTGGTGAAAGAAAGCAGGGTTTGAGAAATGCCCCGAGTAGATCAGTCTTGATTTAGACCACGAACGAAATCACGTTTCAAAAAGAAGACCTGCATGCTTATAATGTATATTGTGCCAGTTACAAATCAGTAGAGTTTGAAAGATATAAACGAAGTTCCAATGATTTTTATCAAGGCCGGATATTTTATGCTGGAATATATAATGGCAGCGCAATCAACACAGACCCGCACTGTGGACGACCCTTTAAGAAACGTTTGTTTTTTTCTTTATATGTACATAAATAAATAACTCTTATCGACTGTTGATACAAATCACTATAAAGACTCTCTTTTGTTTTCAAAGCCATGAAAATTAGCATTTCTCTTTTATCCTGTTGTAAATTATCGCATTGTATCATTCCTAAAGGGATTATCGACATATATACATTGATAAGAGTAAGCGCTTCAAATGTGAAAAGCCAGCGACTTCTTTCGAGTTCAACTGTACAGGCTTTTTGTGTGTCTCTTATGCTAAATAAATTGAGAACATTTTTGACACATCTATTTATCAATGTCAGCAGGTGCCAGAACCCGTTTTCACAGTCATGCATAATATGTGTTCTAACGACCTTTTCAAGGAAAAGCCTTGTGGATACTTTTTCCGGCAAAAAAATTACTGCATCTGACGATAAAACGCTAACTCTGCTCAATCAGTAATTTCGTGTTTGACTGCCGTCATTCACAATAGCGGACCTCTCAGGAAACAGACGTTTACCTCAATGGGTTCGTGGCTCATGATTATCAAATTTCGATCCATTTTGTTGTTGTTGTTGTTGTTCTATTTTTCAATGTTCGTTAGTTGTCGCCGAGAATATTAGGTGCGGTTACGCGGGACACTTTTACCACGGGAATCTGCATTTAGTATATGTGGCCGACCTTTCCCGAGGAAAATTTTCATTGATAAATATCCATGGATAAGTGAAAATGATCATAAGAAGCGCCCATGACATTTAAGTAAGTTAAAATGGTGTTTTGATGCCCAATGTGCAAGAGCCAATCACGATGCTCCGTTCGACTTCAACACATTGAAACACGCAGCATACTCAAAAATAACGTCAGGTTTGCGCTTTGATAGGGTAAGTATTTGAAGGACTTACTTATCAAGACCCGAAAAAATAAGACCCCTTTTCTAATGAACTGCGGCGTTGTTCCCTCCATAAGAAGTATAAAAAAGCTTCCTATTAGCATGGCACAGCAA